TCTTCATATAAATGTGAAATGCATATTCAATTACAAGCAATATAATACTTAAACCTAAGCCTCCTACAAGAATCCAGAAAGCTCCTTGAGTTCGTGTCAAGTCCAAATAAGCTGAAATAGCAAGTACTGAGAATAATGTTTTCAATGTATGCCTTGTTGAACAGATGACGTATAGTTGCAAGAGTGAGCACCTTTAGAAGCAGCAAAAGAGCTATAATCCTTTATCCATTTGTTTATGAAACCCCGTTCCACCAATTCACGAATTCTATAAATGAAGTCATTGATTGACAAAACAGTCTGCCACCTGTTAGAAAAGATCATCGAATATTGACTGTTCAATGCCATTGGGATGGATAAGTACACGGGTAGCATATCGTCACTCACAACAAGCAAACTACAATCAAATGACGCATAAAACATTATTGATTCGCGTGATCCCAAAAATACATAACCAGGTCTTGATCTCACAAACTCAATCGCTATAAATGGATAAAATGTGATTATAAGCTCAAATTAGTTTTTTGAAACCTTCATATGTTCCATTAACATATAAAACTTTTTTATTTGTATCGAGCTCATACCATAATTGACGTAAATCTTCATTCTGGGAACTCTATAAAATATATATTATTGCATATAATTACCATCATTATCATCATCATTATCGTCTTCTGATAACAATTACTAACCTGAATCATCTTACGTCGTATCATAGAATTAGAGTCCATAACAACTATAAACTTGCCCTGTTTTACTGCTTTGGTTAATGTTCGAACATCTAAGAATCATTCTCATGAAAATTGTTTTTATAATGTCTCAGATTCACCATGAAATGGCAAATTTCGATTTTCGGTAGCAAATATGGCAACTAAACTGCCAGTGAACGTGGCCATTAGAGTCAGACTAGCTGCCCACCAAAAACCAATCATTATGCGACAACTATTCGACTTAGGTTGATCGCGTAAACCTGAAGTTTAAAATTCATTTTCATTGTGTCTCAAATTGCATTCTTCTACTTACCTTGTTGTAGAACTATTGATATGAATATCCAAAAGCAATCAAAGAATGAATACATCACTTCTGAATAACATGCTCGAATGATTCGATTGATTATAGCAAAGATGAAGCCTGACACTATGATACATAGTACTGTCAGTAGCCATACCTTGAGATATATATGATTGCTACAGATGTATACTGACTAACCTCCCATCGGAACGGTTCTGTTATGATCAAGAACTTCTCATAATGCTTTTTCTCTTGTCTCTTCAACAACATAGCTGTTGTATCATAATGGAAAGGATACGTCAAATCAGATACTAAGCTTCGATCATATTGCATTATAGCTCCTCCAGCTATGATATCAATCCCCTAATATGGGTAATTGAATATATTTGTTAAGCGATGAACACATCTTACTCCTCCAATTAGATCACCGAATGCTCCAGACCATGTGCCATTCTCAACATATCCCCATTCATGATTCTTAACTGATACAACCTGTAATGATGTTCTGATGTATCTATTCCATAAAGTATCACCTCATATGATAGATTAAGCAATTGTTGCATATCCTTAAGAATCTCTATTAC